CAGCAGCACCAGCCGCAACCACGGCAGCCTTAGCAGCAGCAGCAGCAGCAATAGCAGCAGCAGCAAAAGCACTAGCAGCAGCAGCAACAACAGCAGCAGCAATAGCAGCAACAGAGCAGCAGCAGCGACAGCAGCAGCAACAGCAGCAGCAGCAGCAGCAGCAGCAGCAGCAGCAGCAGCAAACCTCAATATTGAAGTGCCTGAGCGCCTGCGGGTTTCCGTAGGCAACACGGGAGTCCGAAATGAACAAAGCGAAGTCAGTCGCAGGCTCCTCCTTCATCTGCAGCAAACCCTAAACCCTAAACCCTAAACCCTAAACCCTAGCAAGCGCTAAAACCTACTAAGCCCTAAACCCTAAACCCTAAACCCTGCAGCCTGAATTAATAGTGAACGAAGGCTTTGACGCGGCCTCCAGCCCGTCGCAAGGGGCCTTCACTGTGCTCTAGTGTTTAGGGTTTAGGGTTTAGGGTTTAGTGTTTACGAGTTTAGTATTTGGCGCAATGATTTCAGTGGGGCCCGGCAGCAAAATGTCCGAGTCCGTCAGCAGCAGCGAATAACGAGGCAGCAAAGAGCTGATTCCCCCTGCAGGCAGCAGCAACAACCCAGGGTTTAGGGTTTGGGGTTTAGGGTTTAGGGTTTGCAGGGCCAGCCCGCAGTACGCTGGCCAGTCGAAGTACTGCAGAGCTAGGGTTTGGGGTTTAGAACTTGCTGCCATCTCCGTTACCCGTTCATGCACAGGGTTGAGGGTTTAGTGTTTAGGGTTTAGTGTTTAGGGTTTAGGGTTTAGGGTTTAGGGTTTACCGGCAAGAACTACAGCTTCTGTGTACTGCACTTCTCCGTTTTGCAAATAACGCAAAAACTGCAGCAGCAAAGGGTCGTCGTCAGCTTCTCCCACAGCCACCACCTGCGCCAAACCCTAAACCCTAAACCCTAAACCCTAAACCCTAAGCCCTACGCACTAGACCTTAAACCCTAAAGCGTAAGGATCATCATCAGCCCTTCGCAAAGTCACCGCCTGTGCCAAACCCTAAACCCTAAACCCTAAACCCTAAGGGTGCAGTAGCAGCAGCGGGAGCAACCGCAGCAGCAGCGGCAGCAGCACCAGCAAAGACAGCAGCAGCACAGGCAGCAACTGCCACAGCAGCAGCAGCAGCAGCAGCAGCAGCAGAATGCCTACAGTTTTGAGCTTGCAAACGACCCGCAGCCACTGCTGCAGGTGTGGAGGCCCCGCGCTGCTTTCTGCCGAAGTTGCTGCTGCTGCTGCTGCTGGAGCTGCTGCCGCTGCTGCTGCTGCTGCTTTAGGAGGGCCGCAAGATTGGAGGCGGCTCAGAGCTGCGGACGCAACTCTCTCCCTATCAACTGCAAATCCAGCACACTCTAAACCCTAAACCCTAAACCCTAAACCCTAAACCCTAAACCCTAAACCCTAAAGCACAAACCCTAAACCCTAAACCCTTAACCCTAAACCCTAGGGAGTTGGCTCACCTTTGCTGCTGTGTGAGGCGTTGCGCTGCAGTCAACAAAACACAATCCTCTTAAGTCATAGACCTCCACCTCTAGACCCTAGACCCTAAACCCTAAACCCTAAACCCTAAACCCTGAACCCTAAACTGTAAAGCCTAGAGGTACCTGCAAGGCTTCTGTCTTGGTGGCAGGGGACGCAGGACTGGGAGGGCTTTGAGGAGTGCTGCTGCTGCTGCTGCTGCTTCTGTAGGTGTCCCAGCCATTGTGGTGGTCGCTGTGTCCATGTGCTGCGGAGTTGCTGTCTCTTTCTCATCTGCTGCTTCTTCCTGCTGCTGCTGCTCCTCTTCGTGCTGCTGCTGCTGCTGCTGCTGCTGCTTTTGCTGCTGCTGCGGCATAGACTTCAGCCGCTTCAAGGTCTGCATGCGCATGCGTGGCCACACGAAGCCGCTGCTGCGGGCCGCAGGGTTTGCTGCAGCAGACCGAGACACAGCAGGACCTGCGCAGCAGCAGCAGCAGCAGCAGCGGCAGAAGCACAATTGCAGCATAGCGACGCGGCGATCGCCATCATACTGAGCAGCAGCAGCAGCAGCTTAGGCTCTCGCCGCTGCTGCTGCTGCTGCTGCGGTCCCCGCCCGC